TGTTGTTCTTGTTGTTGTTGTTGCTGCCCACGCAATCTATGGCCAGAAATATCTTGGTGTAATTTGTGAGCATAGGCGAAGGCGACGCCTGCCAAAGGACTTTAGCCTGTTGATGTGCGTGCCTTTGACTATGTATTTAAAAATGTTGTATACGACAACAACAACAACAACAACAACAACAATAACCACAGAAGACACAGAAATAAAATAAAATGTAATTTTTATTATGCTCAGTGGTTTTTATTGCCTGCTTTATCGTTCTACAAGTTCTGCGTATTGCCCTTGTCTTGTCTTGTCCTGACTTGTCTGATATTTGTCTATGGCATGTCCTATTCTATGTGTGTGTGTGAAAATGTGTTGGGCATGCCACAATAGCCACACACACACACACACACAACTAGACAAATAGACTTGGACATGCCAAGCGCCTTGGCCTTTTGCGATATTTTCGTTTTTTATGGCTTTTTTATTGACTTGATTATTATGTTGGCCTCTTGTTTTCGAACCGAGAAAGAAGCGAAAAAAAATGAAATAAAATAAAAACGAAAGTTTTCTTAGGCTTCAGCCCAGGGAAATTAAAAAATAATTTAGCGCCCAGCTCGAGGGCTGCTGCATAAATTTGCCAAATGTCTGACTGGCTGGCGCAGGCTGTGTCTGATTGCCTTTTGGCTTACAGGCCACATAAATAAGGGCCAGCCGTTTCTAATGACGCCGTTTTGCAATTTATTGTACGTATGTGTTATGACACTCGCTTGCACACATATATCACATGTAATCGTAGACCAAATTAAAAACCTATATCAGTATATATATATATTATCGAGTGTCAGCTTTGGCTCAATAAATTGCGAGCATTTTAAAAAGTTTAGGGCGAAAAAAACATTCAATTGCCTGTTGCCTAACAACAACTATTCGCAATTTATGAACTCAATGGAAATGTGAGAAATACTCAATTTCAAATTCGCCAACAGCCAAACGCACTGAGCGAAAACTAATTAAAGTCCGAGTGCGAGTATATGGTTTCACCGACAAGTGACATCGAGTGTCCACTAAGATGAAACGTTTCGGTTTAGTGCTGTGGAACAGAAATCAAATGCGAAGAATTTTTATGTTTGACGCTGCGTATACTTGATAAATGATTATTGAATGGATGCTGGGATTTAAGTTACACATTGCAGCAGGAAATGGACAGTGTGGGAGAATCACAAGTGGAAAGAGAGTGAGAGAGAGAAAGAAATCAGCGAGACAACGAAAGTGAGAGGAAGGAACGTGGGAGAGAAAGGAGATGGAATGCGGCAGGAGAAAGACACAAAGCAGGGAGATAGAAATGAGGAGAGATTGAAGAAAATATAGGAATGGAGCGAGAGGTATAGAGAAAGTAAAAGTAAGAGAGATAAAGATCAAACGTTTTCATAAGCATGCATTATTAGCCTTATCAATCATATATATGTATGTATATATATTCTTGAGCAACGTAATCCCATTCAACTATCCCATTCAACTATGTGTTTGTATGACTGTCTGTATATATGCCTCTCTGTCTCGCTGTCCATCACACAGCGTTTCTCTCCGTCTATCTCTCTCTGTTTGCCTGCCAGAAGATCATTTTAGTTGTCTATACGTATGTAGCAGCACTCATTGAGTATTTATATTTAAGTAAAACGCTAGAATGCTTGCAGCAGCAGAGACTGTTCCGATTGGTCACCCAAGACTCGTCTGTTAGGAC